ATTAATGAGTTTTTTGGGTTCATTGAGAACATGGTTGTTGTTCAATAATAAAATTATTCCTCAAAAATACAACTTGCCTAATAATTCTGCACTCCCTGTAAATTAAAAGGACCCAGCTGGCAGGACTTGAAATTTAAAAATGAAATTAATATTTCAGATTTGAATATGAACATTTTATATTATTTTCTCAAAGTAAGACATACGGATTTCCGGACATTCAATTTAAAGTCAACTTATACTTAGTGCGTCAGCAGCAGTTAATAGCAAACAATATGAAATCTTATTTTAAACCACTCAAACCGGCGCACAGTTATTAAAGCAAATGTTCAGTTGAATCATATATAAACTATCAGTCAAAAGTTTGGACACACGTTCACATTTCATGTTTTGTTTTGTTTTTTAATTTAGATTCTCACTGAAGGCATCAAAACTATGAATGAACACAGATGGAATTATGTAGTAAATAAAAAAGTGTGAAATAATTCAAAACACGTTTATATTTTAGATTCTCCAAAGTAGCCACTCTTTGCTTTGATTGCTGCTTTGCTCACTCTCTGCACTTTCTCCATGAGCTTCACGAGGTCATCACCTGAAAAGGTTTCCAACAGTCTTGAAGGAGTTCAAAGATGCTGAGCTCTTGTTGGTCCTCCATCTCATCCCAAACCATCTCCACTGGGTTTAGGTCAGGTGACTGTGGAGGCCAGATCATCAGGTGCAGCACTCCATCTCTCCTTCTTGGTCACAGAGCCCTCACACAGCCTGGAGGTGTGTTTGGGGTCATTGTCCTGTTGAAGAATAAATGATGGGATGTGGCTGCAGGATGCTGTGGTAGCCATGCTGCTTCAGTCTGCCTTCAATTTTGAATAAATCCCCAACAGTGTCAGCAGCAAAGCCCCCCCACACCATCACACCTCCTGCTCCAGGCTTCACAGTGCATGTAGAGACCATCGTTCACCATCGCACAAAGACACAACAGGTGGAACCAAAGATCTCAGCTGTGGACTCATCAGACCAAAGGACAGATGGTCTAATTCCTCGTGTTTCTTGGCCCAAACAAATCTCTTCTTGTTGCTTTTCCTCAGTCGTGTTTCTTAGCAGCTATTTGACCATAAAGGCCTGATTCACACAGTCTCCTCTGAACATGTACAGATGTGTCTGCTACTGGAGCTGTGTGGCATCTATCTGGGCTCTGATCTGCGGCTGGTGACTCAGATGAATGTATCCTCAGCAGCAGAGGGACTCTTGGTCTTCCTTTCCTGGGGCGTCCTCATGTCAGACAGTTTCATCGTAGTCTTGATGTTTTTGCGACTGCACTTGGGGACAAAGCTTTAGCAATGTTGCAGACTGACTGACCTTTAGTCCTTACAGTAATGATGGGCTGTTGTTTCTCTTTACTTAGCTGATTGGTTCTCACCATAATATGATTTGTATCAGTTGTCAAACAGAGCTGTGAGCTGTGCACCAACCTGACTGCTGCACAACACAACTGATGGTCCCAACCCCATTAACTCTTTCACGCACAGTGGGCACTACAGTGGGCAGCTATTCAAAGGCTGTTTTCTTGTATTTGCGTCAGTGTTGATGGTATGATGAAAGGTGATGTTGTCCACATAAGTTAACATGTAAAAAACTTTTTTTAAAGTACATGTATAAAAGAAAGTTCAAAAATCTTTTTTCATGCCTAAAGATGAATAAAAATCCTGATCGAGGTTGTCAGAATTCCTGCATGAGAGGGCGAGAAATTCCACAAATGAACCCTGACAGGCACACCTGTGAAGTGAAACCATTTCAGGTGACTACATCATGAAGCTTATTGAGAGAAGGCCGAAGGTTTGCAGCGCTGTCGACAAAGCAAGATTTGTCAGATTCGTCAAAGCATTACTTTGACAAATCTACAATATAAGACATATTTAGAGTTATTTATCCTTTTTTTCTTTGCTACAATAATTCCATGCATCTTTCTTCATATATGTGATGTCTTCAGTTTGTATCTATGATGTAGAAAGTAGTAGAAATAAAGAAAAACCATTAAATAAGAGGTTGTGTCCAAACTTTTGACTGGCAGTGTTTAGTGCCAAGTCACAAAAATCACCTCAAGGTGCTTTATAGTTTAAGGAAAAAGACCCTGCAGCAAAAACCTCAAACGACCCCCTTTAGCAAGCACTTGGCAACAGTGGGAAGGAAAAACTCCCTATTAGCAAGAGGAGGACTCTGCCAGAACCAGGCTCAGGGAGGGGCAGCCATATGCCACAGCTGGTTTGAGGTGATGGGAGGGAGCCAGAGATTAATAATAACAAATGATGAAATGCAGAGTGAGCAGAGTAAGCACATAGTGAGTAAAATATGTGAGTAAAGAAGCAACAATCAGTGCATCATGGGAAGTCCCCTAGAGCAGCGGTCCCCAACCCCCGGGCCTCGGACCGGTACCGGTCCGTGAGTCGTTTGGTGCCGGGCCGCAAGAGTTGAGGCTCAGGTGTGAAATGTGTGGTTTTCAGGGTTTTTATCAGTTTTCAGTTATTTTGTTATCGTTTTTATCGTTAACTCGGTTTTCCTGGGTCTTTTCACGTGTGTTATGAATAAATCTTCTTTTTTTCGGTACCGGTACTAGTTTTATTTTGTTGCATTTATCCGCGACACCTTAAAGGCCGGTCCGTGAAAATATTGTGGGGCATAAACCGGTCCGTGGCACAAAAAAGGTTGGAGACCGCTGATCTAGCACCCTAGGCCTTCTGTAGAGCAGCTAGAGGAGGAGTCATTGCTGGATCGCTGGAGTTCAACTATATGTCTTATCAAATTGGAACGTTTTAAGCCTAATCTTAAAATCAGAGACGTTTTCTGTCTCCCAAATCCAAACTGGGAGCTGGTTCCAAAGACCAGGAACCTGAAAGCTGAAGGCTCTGCTTCTACTTTTAAATATCCTCGCAACCACAGCTTGATTTGGACCTCTGTTGGAAAGCCACATTCTAACTTGCATAATAACCAGAAGTTCCTTTTATCACTATACCACAACCTCCCATGGCATTCAAGCCCTTGTGATGTGTGTCGATCTGTTATATAGAAGGTTTTGGTATAGGATGGGGTTTCAGTTAAAGCGCGAGTTACGACGTAGATTTCCTGAAGGAGTATAATTGACGCGTAAGCCCTAGAGTCCCTAGAGTGAAGTGCTCTATTGGAGTGACACGGTACTACGAAGTCTCTAAGATAAAATGGAGTCTGATTACTCATGAAGTGCCAATTCACCTCAGTGGTCATAAGGTACTATAAGATCTTTAAGATATGACTTTAGATAAGCGGAAGAAAATGGCTATAATTTATTGATTTGTTATTCAAAATCTTTATTCATTAAAGTTGTTCATGTGTGTCACGTGACTACATTCTGAATGATACCCGGCACAATGTGCCAGACTTTTCAGCAACAATTTATTAATTATTCAGATGTTAATCTGTTATATTTTAATAACACATGAGCATCTTCTGTAGTAACGCTGTTGTATAGTTAAACTTAACATTAGTTTATTATTTTAAAGTTTTTTTCTTCCTTTTCTATTTGGAGTTTAATGTGTAATATTTATAACACACGATGTGAGGTGCTGCCCAGTTAAGTGACATGAAGAATGGGATTAATGGTTTCAGAGTTTTTAAATATTGTTTATTAAACGGTTCTCAAACGTAAGCTGACGTCTGAGTGTTTCTTAGTTTTAGACTAGTCAGTTATGTGGTCAAATTTATTTCCCTCGTTTAGTCAACTAAGAAAATAGTTGCCAGAAACATCCCAACTAAATACATCTGCCCCTTACTGTGACCAGCCCAGAGAAACGGGACATCGCTCCTCTGTCAGCTGTGACAAAAGAACAAAAACACAAGCCAAATGTACACAGAGCGGACCAAGCCAACAGACTCCTTCCAAGACAGGAGTGAAAACAGTTTCCATCGAACAATGAGCTTAAGTCAGATGATGCAAACCGTCTCCAACAATGAATTAGATCCCAGACAAGCCCCCACTTGTTACAAGTTGGCCCATAGCCAGTGACAAAGAGGGGGGGACGAGACAGGATGTGTTGCTAATCATTATGTTATTCACTAAAAGGAAATATGACAAATATAAGTTACGAGAAATCAGTAATGACATGAATGAATGAATGAATGAATGAATGAATGAATGAATGAAATGTGCGCTAATGTTGGCAGCAGTGTGACGGAAAAAATAAACTAAAATTTGAGGGTGTCAGTCTTGGGAGCGAGAGCACAAGAGTATTTTTAACTCAGGCGTACTTAAACCACATGGCTGTAACCCAATCAATTTAACGATCCTCTCCATCACTGAAACCCTGCAGAGTATACACAAAGACAAGCTGCTGTCACATTTCTGATTCCTGCTGCCCGTGCACGCAAGTCACCTCATTTACAATAGAAGTTGGGATAAGTGTAATTCATGTTCCACTTTACCTTATCAATAGCCTCGTGCTCCAGCAGGTCTTGCACTGCCAGTAACTTGATACTGTAATAAGAGAGAGAATGCATTTTTTAAAAATGTACCTTTACACGTACATCATATACATACATATGCATTATTTACCCAAATCCTCTTAAAATAAATAAATAGTTGAAAACCCTGATAGAAAGGCATGATAATGAAACCCACTGACAACAAAAGGACACTTTGGGCATTCCTCCTGTCATTACTACATGGTTTTACAGTGGTCTGAAAAAAGTGATTGCCCCCTAAACACCCTTAGCAGCAACAACTGCAATCAAGTGTTTGTGTTAACTGGCAGTGAGTGTGTCCCAGCGCTGTGGAGGAATTTTGGCCCACTGATCTTTCCAGAAATGGTGTAATTCAGCCACACTGGACGGTTTCAAGCAGGAGCTGCACTTTTAAGGTCATGCCACAGCATCTCAGTCACGTTCATGTCAGGACTTTGACTGGGCCACTCCAAAGTCTTCATTTTGTTTTTCTTAAGCCACTCACAGGTGGACTTGCTGATGTGTGTTGGATCATTGTCCTGCTAAAGAACCCAACTGCACTTCAGCTTCAGGTCACAATAGATGGTCACCATATTTTACTGTTGGTATGATGCTCCATTTCGAAAATGTTGTCTTACTTTTACACCAGATGTAATGTGACATTTCCAAACAGTTCAACGTTCGTCTCATCAGTCCACAGAGTGTTTTCCCAAAAGTCTTGGAGATCATCACAATGTTTTCTGGCAAAACTGGGATCAGCCTTTATGTTTCTTTTGCTCAGCAGTGGTTCTCGTCTTGGAACTCGCCATGCAGGCCATTGTTGCCCAGCATCTTTCTTATGGTGGAGTCATGAACGCTGACCTTAACTGACACGACTGAGGCCTGCAGCTCCTTGGATGTTGATCTAGGATCTTTTGTGACCTCCTGGGGTAATTTTGGTCAGACACTCTTTGGAAAGTTCACTAGCTTCCATGTTTTCGATTTCATTTGTGGATAATGGCTCACGAGAGCCTTTGAGTTTGGATTTTTTCCCCTAATAGACTAATAAATACCCTCATTTTGAAACTGCATTTTGTGTTTACTTCTTATCTTTGCCTAATATTTAGGTTTATTTGATGACCCTGAAACATTTACGTGTGACAAACATACACAAAAAAACACTTTTCACACCACTGTATATAGTACTGGGTGGACCACGTTCATTTTTTCAGGTTACTTTGAAACTCAACCGTACTGATTAGAGTTAATCATCAGAACACCCATTTTGTATTTGTAAATTAAAATTTATAAACTTAAAATTTATTTTTCCCAAACATTGTATCAGAACATTGAAAAATTAAAATTATTACTAGCTACGAAGTAATGTGAGGGATGACTCTGTTTTATAGAAATCTTCTAACATTAATGGAACTTTTAGCCTTAAAAGTTCTGAGCATTTCATTTCTTCTTTCTACCCTCGCACTGCATCTGCACAGCATTTATGACTTACTGGTACCAAGCAAAGCTGAGATCAGTTTTTCTAGGAGATCGTCATGTATTATGGTTGACTCAGCATAGTAAACACACAGCAAACTTAGGCCAAATTTAAAGTTTCTTTTAACAAACTGGCAGACAGCTGAGAAAATAAGACTCTTTATAGACACACTTTAGACTGTTTGAAATTCAATGTGCCAACACTGCATGGAGGAGGGGCCTTTACAGCCCAATAAATATTGAACTGTTTACTTTTCAAATGACTTCCCAGATCAACAGTCAGCTTAATAAAATGCTATACATTTCTAACAGGCACTTTTACTCTGAAGATGAGCTGCTTTGCATTGCATTTTGCAACACAGGTGAGACACTCAACATTACAGCTGCTGGCTGCTTCCTGTCAGCTGATCCTCAGTGAAACCAGGGATGCACAAGCATCATAAGTAATGCCGTCAGTCAGGAGTCAGAATTGAGTTACAACATGTCACATGACATGGCACAATTCAGCCATGATCAGACCGCCACGTTGATTCAGTTATACAGGATTCATGTCAGACAGAGAAAAAGAGCAGAGTTCTTCTCCTTTAAAGATGGGGACCGATTCTCATCGCCAACAGTCATTTGACAACTGTGGGTAACGTGGAGAAGAGATGTGTGTGCAACACCTGGTATCTGCTCAAATGGAGCAGTTTCCAGACATTTCTGCAACAACTAGTGATGTTTTCAAAGAATCAACATAAACTGTGACTGTTATAGCAAAGATTTTCTACACGCTGTCAATACATACCCACACAAAAGGAAGAAAAGCTGCACTGAAGCTACCGTCTCAGCCATTTGTACTTGTGCTACTATAAATAAACATCACAGCTGTTTCTTCAGCACTCTCATGCTCAGTGTGCCAATTCCATCTATCCATCCACGACTACACACCAGTAGTTCCAGTTTTCACCCTCCTTTACTGGCAGTGGTCTAAATGTGGCCCTTCAAAGGATTATGGGTAGCTGAGGTCCTTATAAGCATCCCCAGCAGGTCTTCTAGAGAACTCCACCTGCCTGGGTGAGGAGGAAACACACCACCAGCCCATCCACATTTTTACATCGACTTCACTCCTTTTATTTAAAAAAACAACAACAAAACAAAACAAAGAAAAGGAAAAAATAAACTTTAGTCCTTCATAATTCTATGTGTGATTGCCAATTTGAAGCTAGACTCCACAAACAGCCAGATGCATTAGAGACAGCGCTCTGAAAGCTACTGGCTACGGCTAAACAGTCTTTGTAGGACGATGACAATAACAACAGCCATCTGCATCAACTGAAGACTAAAAATAAACATTGAATAATGTGCAAATCTGGTTCCACACTTTTGGACTCTACTGATCACATGCATATATGACACTGCAGTCTTACAGTCTTCATGCAATAGTTCCCTAAAACTCCATGCCTGCAGTCAGTCTGTCCTCAGACCACCAAGAATAAAAACAGCTCCTCTGTTATTTACAGTGCGGTTGCCACAACAGGTTGCTCAGATTGTTTTGATTTGTTACACCGGATGTCCTTCCTAATGATTCGTGTTTACTCCTGGGAATTACATTTTGCTCAGGTGTAAACTTCTACATTATGCAGCTACAACCAAAGCACCAAGAATAAAAAACAACACCAGCAAAAACCCAAATGACTGAATGAATGGAAATATTTCAATAGCACCAAAGAGCAAAAACAACTAAATATAACACAATGACTCACGAGGCCTCTCTGAGTCACTGTTAGTGAATTAGTATTTAACAGCTGATCAAAATATTGATTTCTTTTGTTCTAGAAACACCGCAGCAGGAAGTCCATGTTTAAAAGAATCAGCACCTTAAAGTCGTACGAACGGTCAGAATCTTTAACACAGGTCGAGGATCGGCCGCAGTCTTTCGTGCTCGCTTATCAACCAGAGATCTAGACAGAGTTGCTCATTAGCTTTAGATGTTCTCAGACCATCACTGAAAAACACAAGTTTAGTTACATGTTGTTTATTGCACAGAGGTTTTTTGAATGCTCAGTTCAGATAAAATGATTAAAATCCTGACGAACATTTCATTGTTGAAAACAATAGCAATGTTTTTAATTCATTATCAAGTTAAATTTGCATCTCTCAAAATGCAAATAAACCCTCGTGCTCCCTGTTTTCTCCTGATTCAGTACACATGGCATAAAAACAGAGCGTCTCATGATTTAAACTCCAGCTGGGTAAGTATGTGTGGAGGTTCATGTTCCTCCTGTGCCTGCTGGGTTTTCAATGGTACTCCAGGTTCTACTCAATTAGACTAATTGGTGTTTGATCCTGTTAATGAACCTCTGCAGCGCTCAGTCTATATAACCC